TGAAACACCAAACCAATGTGCTAGGATCTGGACAATAAAGATGTATCTTATCTTATCTTAAATGTGAATTGTACGAATGATAATAATACTCTCTTCTAAGGAACATCAGAGAATGTCATGGGGCTTTAGCCCGAATGTGACACTTGGCGAAAAAAAAGAAATGTTCGCTTTCTCCAAGTTATGTGGTAGACTGATTTGACTGAAAAGTCATAACGAGCACTGTCACTTGATTAAGATAATATCATACGTTTTTGTTCTTTTATCGACAGGGTAACGGGCGAAGACAAGCACTTTTGCGGCACCTCTTTTGTTTGGATCTAAGAAATATATCCCCCCCCCCCCCCCTCAAGAAAAAAAAAAGAAAGTAAAAACAAAAAACAACCCCCCCCCCCCCACCACAAAAACAACAACAGCAACAACAAACAAACAAAAAATAAAACAACCCCCACACTCCCCCACAAAGGAAAGAAAACCCATACATACAAACCCCCCCCCTCTCCTTCTCCCGCTTTCTCGCGTCATGACAAACATCAGTCTTTTCAAACATAACTGGAGAAATAACGAAGTCACCCTTTGTTCCTTTTCGCGTCCATAAAAGAAACAAGTGCAGTCGTTCGCATAACACTTTTAGATCCTTTTCAAACGAGACTTTATCAAAAGTACCAGGGAAAGCTGTTTTTACTCAACTAAAAGATACTTTGCAACAGCTTTTGGAATTCCTAATACTAATATAGTGCTCAACTGGTTCAAATCTTATTTGCCAGGACGGGCTCAGTCAGTGGTTGTGTATGACAACCTGTCAACCTGTTTTGAACTAATGTATGGCGTCCCGTAAGGGTCAGTTTTAGGCCCTATTCTATAATATGCAATTTACCTCATGACAGTATTACCAAAAGACGTTAAGCTTATCTGAAATATTTACGTTTCTGTTATTTCTAAAACTGTAAACGTTCGCGTAACGCTTAATTTTGTGGCCAGAGATCATGCACGTTTACTTCGAAATCATAATGAAACAGATCTACTGTATTCACTTGCGAGTACATAAACATGAACGAAAACAAACACAGATAACCATTCTCCTTCACGATTAGGAGTCAATGTCATGTTATATTTCCAGATTTCTTTTCCAAGCATTTTTCTATCAGCAGGGGCTTATCTATGTAAAAATGGGACTCCTGGCAAGCATTTAAAACTATATTCGATTTTATATCATGTGTAGGACCTATTTAAAGGTAAATAAATGGGTCAGCTTCAGACAATATATGGAAGAATTGGGACTTCATATTCACCAATACGAAGAAAATCAATGTACATATTCGAAAAAATGCCAAGTTTTAAGAATTGAAAAAAAAAAAGAGTAGATTCTAGAACGCAAAAGTTTACAACTCTTTAAGGACTGGTGGGGCACCTGAGGTCTATTTTGGCCATTACAAGGCCTAGAGTACCCATATTTGCTGTGGGACATTGTGTGTTATTGGGTATCTAAAATAAATAGTTCAAAAAGTATATTATGAATTGGTTGCTATGGAAACGGCGGCCATATTTGATTTTGTATACCTTTTTCAATCCCATTATATTCCCTTATTTATTAATTGATTCACTTCTAATTTGGCATGCCAACAGCAAATATGTAGCTCTTAAATTTGGCTTGTTGAATTTTTGATATACGCTTTAGTTTTTATTTTATGACACTTACAATTGGGTTGTTGCAAAAAGTGAAAAAAAGAAACAATCATGCTTTCCCAGCCCATAAATCAAAAACTACAACATTAATAAAACATTCAACAAGCCAAAATTGGTAACTATGTGTTGTTGGTATCCTGTGAAAATTACATTGAAATTGAACAAGATATAGAGCAGAAAAATGGGATAATGTGTGAAAAAATAGCATTGTAAGAAAAGGCCGATAAAGGTAAGAAAAGGCTGGAAAACATGTGCTTTGGCAGAAAAACCTGGGGAAAAACCACAGCTTTAGGGGACAACAAGGCTTACATACGTTACTGGATATTGTTTAGGAAGTGTCCAGGTACTATAAAATGTAATAACCCCAATTTGCACAATTTGATCCCAAAACACGATTTCCCCACCAGCCACGTGTATTTGTGGCTTCCAAAAAAAAAGAAAAAGATTAGAACAGGCATTACCAAACACACTGGGGGAAGGTGACGGCTACTTAAATGATATACACAGTGAATATGCCACTGGACATTTTGAATAACACTGAGGCATGTTTCTGGGTTGATTCTTTGGATCTCCTGCTCAACAAAGATTTTCTCTACATGTTCAGTAATTTGGAGGTTGTTCCCGTACACTTTGTCAAAAAGCCCAAAACGAAATTTTTGAGGGATTAAAGTCGGGGGAATACGGTGACCTTTCATTTGTAAACTTAAGACGTATGCAGCGTTACACAAATCTTTCTTGCAACCATACAAGGGCCACTCTTGACATGTGGGGGATGGCGCTCATCCTACTTGAACCAGTCCAACACAGTGGGTGATTGGCGGGTGCTCTGGTGTGGTTTGCTTCTTCTTTCCTATCAAACATATATCGTTCTTATCTCCCCTCCTTCTTTTTTATGTTTGTTACTCTCTTGTAACACATCTAATCTTCTGGCGCTCATATGACCTTATGCAGTGCGAGCGCCGTACAACTTCTACTAAAACAAACAAGTCCACCCCAGCTGAAACCAGGGAAGGACTTCCGAAGCGAGCGACCAGCTACACAAACACAATAAAGAAGAGCTCTAATCTTAACCCTGACCCAACCCCTACCCCTACTCCTACCCCAACCCCAATCCTTACCCCTATCCCAACCCATACTCCATCCCCTACCCAAACCTCAAAACCTAACCCTAACCTTCTATTCTACTATTTCATTGTGGTCGCTCCTTACAGAATTCTTACCGAAACCAGAACAGATCGCTCAAGCCAATGTAGCTGAATGCTTTGATGTAGTTCCAAAGTTTTACGTTTTGCCTAATTTTGGTTGGAACTTTGAAAACTTTATATTTTTCGG